TACGTGCAGAAGTTCAGCGCCAACGACAAAAGCAGAGTCAGCAGCGTCAATATATCGCTTCTGGTGGGGTACTCCAGGTGCAGCGGGCTCAGCAGCTTGCTGCAGAGGTAGAAAAGATGGTCATAGAGGCTAGCCAGAGCCAGGCTGGTGAGCGACGTCAGCGCGCGCCGCCAACGTGTACGAAGTGCCACACATAAGGGCATACTCGGACTTCATGTAGAGCTTAATAAATAATTATATTTCTAAATTTAATCAGATTTTATCGCGTTGTTGTAGCTCAATTGCATAAAATATCGCGTCAAGTTTGGTGGGGTGCGCAGCTTACTGATAGAACACGTTAATATGTTGTGATAAAGTAGTCACGTGACTAGAGTGTGGATATACATATTAGGATTTCTTTTCACAGTAGAGGGACACTTTCTTCAATCAAATCAATCAAATCAATCGCAGCGATTAGATTCCAGCTTTGTTCTACCAGCTCGATTGTGGTTCGCCCCTTGATCTTTTGAGCTCGATCTTGTATCTTGCCATAATATCCACTCAGTCCAACGCTAGGTTATTCTACTCATAGAGGTATGAAGATTTTAGTGTTCTACTTACGTTATCTACGAACTTGAAAATCTTGCTAGTTCAAACACCTGATTGCTTTTTCCAATAACCTGCTGTTCTTATATCTCGAAATACATTACTCCGCTATTTGTTCATCTTTTTTTGTCCTTTCACCGACGCCCAACTTAGAAAAGGCCAGCCAAGTACTGATGCACAACTCAAGACGATAGCTACCAAAAATGCGTCCTGTATCGCGCTATTAAATGTTTGAATGGCAACTCCAAATTCCGCTGGAGTTAGAGTACTCCGCAAGAACGCAAACCCACTCTGTAGAGTTTCCTTAGTCACTCCGGGTAGAACTTCAGTAAGAGCATTAATGCGATTAGTGAAGAGGTTTTGACATACGCAGAGCGTTATAACCCCACTCATTGAGTTCATTAGTAATACACTCGCAGATGCGTAGGTTACATCGGCAGGATCTAGTGCAGCCTGTGCACCAATGAATGCCTGTTGTACGCCGGCGCCAGAGCCAGCACCGTATATCAGCTGATATCCGATGATACGCGCCTGTGATTTGGTGGGTGTGAAGGTGTATAGTAGGCCTGATCCAACGGAGGCTAAGACTGTAGCTATTACGATAAAAGGTGCCAACCGTCCAGTAAATGAGATGGTAATCCCGGCGACAATGTTTACACCTATGATAGCTCCAACTATCGGGAGCATCTGAATACCGGCGCCGACCCGAGTCTCACCCTTTATAGCTTGGAACCACGTAGGCAACTATAGAAACGCAATCAGTAGGGTTCGAAATGATTGTGCCAAGTGGAGTGAATGAATGGGGTATAAAGAATACGCACTAACATAATACAAAGCTGCATACTGAACGCCCCCGAAACACAGACCATTAAACAGTGATAACAAAAAGCCCCTTTGTCTTAAAAGTCGTGTAGGGAAAAGCGCCTTTTCTCCTTTCCAGTACTGATGTCCACTGGCAGAGAGAAATAGAACCCCGAATACGACAAGTAGAGCGACTACACGACCATCACCCCATTTGTACTTTGTACCACCCCATTGCAACGCCAGCGAGAGGCAAACAAGGCTGCTGATGATCATTCCAGCTCCTATATAATCAAGATTACCGAGGATTTCAGAGTACGATCTTGGAACTCCAGAAGCTGAGTATGTGGACCTCGGCGGATGAAAAAAGAATAAAAGTATAGCACAGACAGCTGCGCCAATAGGTAGGTTGATCCAAAAGCACCAGCGCCAGCCAATGTTATCCGCTATGGCGCCCCCGATGATTGGGCCAATAATGAGCGCAACGCATTCTAGGGCTCCAATCATGCCAGTAAAAGCAGCTCGGTGATGTAATGGAACAATGAGAGCAACGATACTACGTCATAGCTTCCAGTTAGAATCGTCTATCCTAGAGGGTGGTGCAGTCTCGAGAGACTTTTGCACACTTACTTCAATGCGCCAGATAAAATCCCTCCAGCTCCTATTCCAGCAACCGCTCTACCCACAATAAAGGTAGGAGAATTCCGTGCCAAAGCACAGACTAGCGATCCAAGCTGGAGGACGATAAGGCAGGTAATAAAGAGCCATTTGGGCGAAAACTCATTGTAAAGCTTTCCAAAAAGGGGCTGCGTGGTTCCGCTCATGAGCAAACTAGGACGCAATTAGTATTTGAAAAACACAATGAAATCAGGTAGCTAAATCAAGAACTTACTATATTGCGCCATACCATGCCACGGCGTCTACTGAATGGAATTCCTGAGCGAGGGTTGGGGTGAGCACTGCAACAACGGTCGCATCGAGTGCACCCAAAAAGGCGGCGGCACCTAAGGACATAACAATGGAAAAGAGGCTGATGAGAGATATTTTCGGAAGCGAAGGCGTTGAATGTGGCGGTACAACGTTGGCATCGACGTCTTCGCGATCTTTCACAGGCTGTTTCTCAACACCGTCTTTCACATTGCTACTGGCTGAAACAATCTGCTCATCCATATCGTTCGAGCCGCAGCTAATTTCGGTCGATGCTATTGCTGTGCCTTAGCAGAAACGAACAATACGTTCGTGGTTAGGCCAAGTTCTTATGAAGTCGGATTTCGAGAGGATAGAGAAGTTAAATTACTAAAGATTCTAGCCGACGTGTGGGGATGTTCTGTAAACCGCTCCTTTCTAATAATCGCCGATTTATCATTGAAGAGATATTTTTGCTACCAGGAATACCCGATAGCGTCAAGAATCGCATGATCAGTTTGTATGACAGCTTTGTCATAAGACTAGCGTTATCTTGCATCCTGCAGACTTACGTGAGATTGTGTTCAAGTAGCGGATATGTTTCCAAATTGAGACTATGACAATCGCGCTTGCCCCACTTCTCTTCCTTAGTAATTCGAAAGCTTAGAGGCACAAGTATTGTATTCGTAAGAGAACGGCACAGTTGCGTGAGATGATCCAATCGTAATTTAGAATATCCACAAGATCAGTAGTCCAGGTTGTTTCCTCACTAGCAGTTAACTGTGATTGCTCTCCGTCGCTGCAAGATAACTGAAATTTCTGTTTTTTGCGTTTACTGTTTTATCGTCTGAGGATCTCTTTCGACTTATTTCCCGCAACACCACGCCAAGAAAAACAGTACAGGCTTCGCGATAAAAGCAAATCTGTGCGGTCACAGAAAGAAGCTGTGAAAAAGGAAACATGACAATGCCACACCATTCGTCAGGTCCTGCCAAGGACAGCCCTCTCTGCCGATTTCCCCCTTTCCCTGGAGGAAACCCCGTCTTTACCAATATTCGGCGCGAAAAAGTCAATTTCCAATTACCCCCTCCAGACCATGCTCTTCTCGCAGCCGCCTGGGCTGTTTTACTTCGATTGTATACTGGCCATGTCAAGACTTGCTTCGAATCTGCAACTTCCGACCAGGAAGCGAATTTGGTCACCTATGAAGCTCGCGATAGCGATACCTTGCAAACCATCGTACTTAGAGGTGCGTGTGTGAGTAGCACTGCAGAAGAAAAGGCCGGCCTCCGCGACCTTAACACAGCTGTGGTGCGCACGACTGTTAGCATCGACTCATGGACAGATGAAATGCTGCAAGACAAAATCGCCGCCTTGTTGCAGCCGGGAAAAGAGATTGTACTTTTTCAAACACCTTCAGGATGCGTTCTTGTGTACATGCAGAGTTTCATGTCAGCAATGGAAGTCAAGAACGTATCCTCCACCCTCACCTACATAATGTCCAGCGATCCAGACAAAACCGCCATCCGGAATTTAAGCATTAGTCCAAGGGATCTTGCCCAGATCATGCGCTGGAATGATAGAAAGTTGAAATCAGAACGCACGAATCTTGTCTATGATTTATTCTCTGCAAGAGCCCACGAGCAAGATGCCAACATGGCGATCGATGCATGGGACGGTCGGATGTCCTACACAGAGTTGGAAAGGGTCTCCAGTACCTGGGCACGACAACTACAAAAGCAAGGAATCTCCCAAGGCTCCTGGGTCCTTTTCTGTTTTGAGAAGTCTCGCCTGGCAGTTGTTTCTATGATCGCAATCTTGAAAGCGGGCGGCGTGTGTGTCCCTATAGACCCAAGGTACCCCGTAGAGCGGATCCGTGACATAATTAGGACTACAAATGCGACGATTGCTCTTGTAGGAGCGGGAAAGACTGCTGCTCTTTTCAAGAGCGCCGATACCGCTGTCCAAACGATCGACATAACTAAAGATATCCCACATGGATTGTCGGATACGGTCGTACAATCGAACACAAAAATCGACGATCCTGCATTTGGTCTCTTTACCTCGGGCAGTACTGGCGTCCCTAAGTGTATCGTCGTCACACACTCCCAAATTTGTACGGCGGTACAGGCATACAAAGATCGGTTTGGGGTTACTTCTGAAACTCGAGTCCTTCAATTCTCGTCTTACACCTTCGATATTTCAATTGCGGATACCTTTACGGCTTTGTTCTATGGCGGTACTTTATGCATTCCATCGGAGGAGGATCGTATGAGTAACCTACAGGATTACATGGTGTCAGTTCGTCCCAACTGGGCCGTCTTGACGCCCACTGTCTCCCGATTTCTAGATCCAGGGGTGGTGAAAGACTTTATCTCGACACTGATTTTCACGGGCGAGGCTAGTAGGGAAGCCGACACTGTACCTTGGATAGAGGCTGGTGTGAACCTATACAACGTTTATGGGCCTGCTGAGAATACTCTGATTACTACGGCTACCAGAATTCGCAAAGGGAAGTCTTCCAATATTGGTTACGGGGTCAACACTCGTACTTGGGTGACTGATGTTTCTGGTGCATGTCTCGTTCCTGTCGGAAGCATAGGCGAACTTTTGATCGAGTCTGGCCATTTAGCAGACAAATATCTAAACAGGCCTGATAGAACCGAAGCCGCATTTTTGTCGGACCTGCCCTGGATACCCAACTATGAGGGAGATTCTGTACGCAGAGGTAGGAGGTTCTATCGTACTGGAGACCTTGTGCGCTATTGCGACGACGGTTCTCTTATCTGTGTTGGACGCTCCGATACGCAAATTAAATTGGCTGGACAACGTGTTGAGCTCGGTGATGTGGAGGCTCACCTCCAAAGCGACCCGACCACATCCCAGGCTGCTGTGGTTTTCCCCAGGTCAGGACCGCTCGAGGCCCGACTTATAGCATTGTTGGTGACGGGAAACAAAGACGGGACGCCTCACAATCAACAGAGTCTACCGAAACCAGCTTTTGCGCAATGCCCACCCGATCTAGTAAAGTATGCAACATCGAGCCTTCAACAAAGGCTACCGTCATACATGGTACCTTCAGTGTGGCTGGGTATCGATTTTCTTCCCATGTCAGTGTCAGGAAAACTCGACAGGGCGGTTCTTCAAGNCCAGCTGGAATCTCTGTCTCCTTCTGACTATGCTGAGATCCTTGGCACTACGGGCTTGGAGGTCGATCCAGGCGGTGCCGCTTCGTCCGTCGCCAGTGATAGCGATTTGCGCGATATGAACGACGATAGCTTGTTGTTAACCGCATGCAGTCGTGTGTTGAACTTACCTGCAGGTAAAATATCATACTCCCAGTCTTTCATTCATGCCGGCGGCGACTCTATCACTGCTATGCAAGTTTCTTCTTGGATGAAGAGGTTTACTGGAAAGAGGATTGGTGTAAAAGACTTGCTCGTGTCTCCTTCTATCAGCACTGCGGCATCTTGCATCAAGAGTGCGCAAGACGGATCTCGAAACTTCGTAGCCGTTCGGCCGGGCCAAAGAATCCCTGTATCACCAATTCAAAAGTTGTTCTTTCAAACAGCAGAGGCATCCAAATCCTGGAATCATTATCACCAGAGTTTTCTGTTCCGTATCGATCAGCCAATTAAGCCACAAACTATCGAAGATGCGATAAGCCTTGTCATGCAACGACATCCAATGCTTCAGGCACGATTTGAGAGGACAGAGGAAGGAGATTGGTATCAGTATATCCCAATAGATGTAGAGAGAAGGGCATCTGTAGAGGTGATCGGATCACTGAGTACCGATGATCGAGAGGCTGCCATGCTTCGAGCTAGGCAGTCTATCGATTTGACAGAAGGACCGCTAATACGTTGTCAGCTCTTCAATAACAATGTCGATGAGGCGAGCAGATTGTTCTTTGTTGTCATTCATCACGCAGTAGTCGATCTTGTGTCCTGGCGAATCATCATGGAGGAACTGGAGGCACATCTTGCCACAGATTCAACACCAGACAGGGGTGAGGCATACCAGGAGTCAGTTCCCTTTTTGGCATGGTGCCAGGTCCAAGCAGAGGCGGTGAAAGATATCCCGGTCGATCGAACGGTTCCGCTAATACCCAAAATACCCACGGCTGACTTTGGGTATTGGGGGTTGAAGCATGATGAGAACGTATATGGTAATACCGTGGAGCGAAAAATCCCACTTGGCCATTCAATTACGGAGGACTTGCTCTACAAGTGCCATGACTCACTTCACACTAAAACAATTGACGTATTACTCGCTGCTGTTCTAGTATCTTTCAGGAGATCCTTTCTAGATAGACCAGTTCCTGCAGTCTTTAATGAGGGTCATGGAAGAGAGCCGGGGGGCGAAGACGCCGTCGATCTCTCTCGCACCGTTGGCTGGTTCACAACGATATCGCCTGTTTACGTCCCTGAAGTGAGTCCAGGAGACATACTTGACGTGGTAAGGCGGGTTAAGGACTACCGCTGGGCAACTCCAAACAACGGGTTTGACTATTTCTCAACCAAGTATCTCACTCAAAGTGGTATTAAGCTTTTCGAGGATCATCTGCCAGCTGAAATTCTTTTCAATTATGAGGGCAGATATCAGGCAATGGAAAGTGAGCAAACAGTCCTAAAGCCGGAGTCTTGGCATGCTGGAGAGGCATCCAAAGACCAAGACCCAGGCCTAAGGAGGTTTTGTTTGTTTGAAATCTCCACAGCAGTCCTTCCAGATGGTCAGTTGCACCTCACATGCTCCTGGAACAAAAATATGCGTCATCAAGGTCGAATCCGTCTATGGTTAGACACCTTACTTCCTGCAGCCATTGGGGAGATTGTGTCCAGCCTTGCGCTTGCGAGTCCGCAATTGACGCTTTCTGATGTAGAGTTGCTACGACTCTACGACTATTCTTCTCTTGATATCTTGAAGAAATCCATACTGTCTATCCCTGCGGTACAGACTCTTGACGACCTAGAAGGAGTTTATCCAGGGTCTCCCATGCAGGATGCCCTTTTTCTGAGCCAGTCCAAGTCTCAGGATGGTGCATATGAGGTGGATTTCACATGGCGAGTAGCTACTTCTCTCCAGAACTCCCAACCAGCAGTTGACATCGGCTGCCTTGTCGAAGCATGGAAGGACACTGTTGCACTCCACGCGGCTCTGCGAACCGTGATTCTCGAGTCCAGCTTGCCTGCTACTGGAATCCTCCACCAAGTTGTCCTGAGGTCCCATGACCCAGATATAGTCATCTTGGATGTGAGGGACGTCACCGCCGCTATCACAATACTTGATAGCTACCCGCCACCGACAGAAGAGGGCATAGCCTTGATCAAGAGACCCCCACATAGGCTATTGATCTGCACCACAATTGAAGGGAGCGTTCTTATCAAGTTTCAGGTCAACCATCTTGTTTTTGACGGCATGTCAACGGACAAGATTATCCAGGATCTATCGAAGGCATATACGTGCAGACATTCAAACAAGCTGCCAGACCATAGTGAATCGAAACTTCATGATGGCACGTACGGAAACCGTCCAACAAAGCCGCCTCTTGCCGAATTTATCCGGTATATTCGAGATCCACAACGAAAACAAGACAGCATTAACTATTGGAAAAACGCTTTGAGAGGTGCGACAACTTGCAGTTTCCCCCCTCTTTTTGACCAAATCACATCGGAGAAAGCTATGCCACGTCAGTCTTGGGCTTCAGTCCCCATCCCGCTTTGTGTGGATTCGAAGGAGCTCTCAAAAACGCTTGCAAATCTTGGTATCACCATGTCAACCATGTTTCAGACAGTATGGGCCATTGTATTACGTATTTACAGTCAGAATGGACAAAGCGTCTTTGGATACCTCACCTCGGGTCGGGATGCTCCTGTGGATGGCATTGACAGCGCCGTGGGCAATTTCATCGCTATGCTGGTATGCTTCTTTGACTTTGACGACGATGGAGTTCATACCGTTGCGGATATGGCCCGTAAGATTCATAATGCTTCGGCCAATTCGATTAGTCATCAAGCCTGTTCACTCGCCGAGATCCAGGATGCTTTGGGCCTGTCAACTGCTACGCCTCTATTCAACACAGCCTTTACTTATCTGCCAAAACGCCCTACCAATGTCAAGGCTGGAGAACCAGAACATCATCTTTGTTTTGAAGAACTTTCGATGAGCGATCCTACCGAGTTTGATTTGACATTGTTCGTTGAGCCCACACAAGAGAGTAACGAAGTATCTGCACACTTGGACTTCAAACTCTCTTATATTAGTCAGGCCTATGCGACCAGTATTGCTTCAACAGTTGCGCATATATTGTCAGAGCTAGTACACGATCCATACAGAGCCTTAAACACACTTCCGATCGTTAGTGAGCATGACACTGCGATTATTCGGAGTTGGAACGATCACCTCTTCCCACCGGCTACGGAATGTATTCATGAAACCTTTTCCAGGAAAGTTGTGGAACATCCTCAACGAGAGGCTATTTGCAGTTGGGATGGATCCTTGACGTATGCAGAATTATCTGACTTGTCACAACGCTTGTCTATCCATCTGGTTTCTCTCGGAATTAAGGTTGGCACCAAAATACCTATTTGCTTCGAGAAGTCCATGTGGACAATTGTTACTATTCTAGCTGTTGTTCAAGCTGGAGGTGTCTTTGTTCTGTTGGAGCCCGGCCACCCAGAATCTCGACTCTCGGGAATCATTAAACAGGTACAGGCAGAGCTATTGCTGTGTTCACCCGCTACCAGCCGCATGGGGGCCTTGCAGAATATATCTACCCAGATGGGGACGGAGTTCAAGATTGTTGAACTTGAGCCGGAATTCATCCGAAGCCTTCCACTTCCACCTAAGCCGAACCACCAACCTATGGTGGGCCTCAATGACGATCTATATGTCGTTTTCACCTCTGGGTCGACTGGAGTTCCAAAAGGGGCGGTTGCAACCCATCAAGCATATGCTACTGGTATTTATGAGCATGCAGTGGCATGTGGTATGACTTCATTAGGCGCCCCACCCCGGTCGCTTCAGTTTGCATCTTACAGCTTCGATGCTTCCATCGGAGATATTTTCACAACACTTGCTGTAGGTGGTTGCCTTTGTATACCTCGGGAGGAAGACAGAAACCCAGCTGGCATTACTACATTCATAAATCGCTATGGTGTAACCTGGGCCGGCATAACCCCTTCACTCGCATTGCACCTCGACCCTGATGCGGTTCCGACATTGAAGGCTCTTTGCGTGGCTGGAGAGCCACTTTCCATGTCTGTTGTCACAGTTTGGAGTAAGCGCCTTAACCTCATCAACATGTATGGACCGACCGAAGCCACAGTGGCTTGCATAGCCAACCAGGTAACGTGTACCACTACCACAGTTAGTGATATTGGACGAGGATATAGAGCTACAACGTGGGTTGTTCAACCTGACAACCATAATTCCTTAGTACCAATCGGTGCTGTTGGTGAGCTGATCATTGAGGGGAGCATTCTTTGTCGTGGCTATCTCAACGATCCTGAAAGAACCGCTGAAGTGTTCATTCGGAGCCCGTCATGGCTCCATGATTTGCGACCAAACAGCACACTTTACAAGACGGGAGATTTGGTCCGGTACAGCGCTGACGGGAAGATAATTTTTATAGGCCGCAAGGATACTCAGGTCAAGATGAATGGGCAACGTTTCGAACTTGGGGAGGTAGAGCACGCACTTCAGCTGCAGCTGGATCCATCCGATGGCCCCATAATTGTGGATCTTCTCAAGAGAACTCAGTCAGGAGAGCCCGATCTGCTCATCGCATTCTTGTTCGTTGGACGCGCCAACACTGGAACCGGCAATAGCGATGAAATTTTCATTGCAACGAGCACTTCTTCATTATCTGAGTTCTCAACTGTGATAAAAAAGCTACAAGACGCCCAGCGCGCAATGGAGGTATTACCTCTCTTTATGGTCCCACAGGCATATATCCCAATTGAAGGAGGCATTCCTTTGACGGCGGCTGGGAAGATAGATCGCCGCATGCTCCGTAAGCTTTGTGAGCCGTTCAATCGAAATGATCTTATCAGCTTCACATCAAAGGCCTTGAGCACTTCTGTGAAAGATGCAGAAACAACAGATACTGTTGAGGACCGTCTTGCCAGAATATGGGAAAAGGTGCTTGGAGTGAAGGGGGTGGGGAGAGAGAGTGACTTCTTCAGTTCCGGTGGAAACTCTATGGCTGCTATTGCCCTGAGGGCTGAAGCTCAAAGATCGGGGTTTACTCTGTTTGTCGCCGATATATTCACGAATCCGCGCCTCGCTGATATGGCGAAACTCTTCTCCCATGGTCAATCAGTCTCACCCTCTTCGTCTACATTGAGGACAAAAGTTCCCATATCTAGTCTTCAAAAAAGGTCAAGTGGTTTGCAAACAGCAGCGCCAGTGTCCAACGGTTCACCAGTTCGCAGATGCCAGAAGGAGAACATTATTGATTGCCCCGTAGCCTTTGAGTACGAAGAAGGGCCTAGCGATACTCAACTGAAGGAGGCCTCTCGTATATGCGGTATCTCTTCCAGGAGCATTGAAGATGTGTTCCCCTGCACACCCATGCAGGAAGCGTTAGTGGCGCTATCGTTAATCCCTGGGGCCCAAGCGTCGTATGCACTCCATGCTGCATTCGAACTACGCCCTGGCCTCGACAGGAATCGCTTCCGATCCGCTTGGGAATCTACAGTAAAGGCACAACCAATACTTCGCAGCAGAATCATATCAGGTTCTAATGGTAGCTCGGTGGTTGTAACAAGCGCTACGGATAGTATTCCTCAATTGGACGTTTCCGGGCTGGACACGTTCCTCGAGCAGCAGCTTCAGGTGGGTTTTGCGCCCGGTGCCCCACTTTTTCGTCTTGCCTTTGTGTATAGCAAGGCGGATGATTGCGACTATTTCGTCATCAGTGCTCATCATGCCATTTACGACGGATGGTCGTTGAACCTGATCTGGAGCCAGGTTCTTGCATTATACACCAATGGTGAACTGCCTCCTCCAGGCCCCTCTTTCAAACATTTCGCGAGAAATCTCAACCTGGTTCAGTCAAAGTTGGACTCGGAGGATTTCTGGCGCAAGCTGCTTGTGAAGCCTGACCAGGAAAGCTTCAGGTTTCCAGACGTGCCTGTGGGCCACAAACCAGCAACCAGGTGTACTACGAATTTCCATTTTCCTTTTAGTATGCAGTCTAAGATTGGCACCACTGCTAATACCTGTATAAATGCTGCATGGGCAATTACTTTGGCCCAATACTCTTCCAATAAGACAGTAAATTTTGGTGTTACCCTTTGGGGAAGGGACTTCCCCATGATAGACATCGAGCATATGACAGGCCCGACTATTGTCACCGTACCGCGCCAGGTTAACGTTATCCCTGAATCCAGCGTTGCGGAGTTCCTCCAGGATCTGCAGAAATCTCTGGCCGTGGTATTGCCACATCAGCATTTAGGACTCCACCGAATCCAGGCTCTTGGACCTATAGCTAGGCAGGCCTGTGACTTTTCTACACTACTTGTTGTAAACCATGGCTCCTCCATCTCTTGGTCAGAGCTGGAGGCTGCAGATATTGTTCCGGTACCACTACGCTCATCGGATCTCTACGCGTACCCTATGGTCGTAGAAGTGGAAAACGCTAGCAGTGATACTCTTGATATCAGGGTACATTCGGATCCCGATTGTATTGAAGTTCAGCTCCTGGAAAGATTGATGGAACAATTTGGCCACAATTTGCAAACCCTGTGTCGAGCAGCCTCTTTTGATCCGGGCAAGAGAATAGCTGAGCTGATGGACGACACAGCCACTACCCATCTCCGTACCCTCTTCAGCTGGAATAGCCGAGTCAAGGATTCACCCGATGTTGCGGCCATTGCAGTGCACAAACTATTGGAAGAGACGGCACAAAGTCAACCAGCCGAGTCAGCAATAGTTGCCCATGATGGGCAGTTGTCTTATATGCAAATGGATCGTTGCGCGGATGTACTGGCCCGTCAGATCAGAAAGACTAATATGATATCAGCTCAGAGCCCCTTTGTTTGCATTCACCTTCTCAGATCAGCAACTGCAGTTGTATCTATGCTCGCAGTTCTGAAAGCTGGCGGTGCCTTTATGCCTGTCGACATTTCGCAGCCTAGATCCCGATTACAAAACCTCATTGAGGAGTCGGGTGCCAAACTAGTTCTCACTTTACCTGAGAGTGCCAATGCCCTGGCGACTTTGAGCGGATTGACAAAGGTTATCCCGGTCTCGCTCTCGGAATTAGTCCAGCAGATAACCGACAACACGACGAAAAAGGATGAGTACTGCAAGAGCGGAGACACTGATCCGTCCAGCCCAGCTTACCTGTTGTACACCTCGGGCACGTCAGGCAAGCCTAAAGGTGTTGTCATGGAGCATAGAGCTTGGTCGCTAGGTTTGACCTGCCATGCCGAATACATGGGATTTAATTCATGTACCCGTATTCTACAATTCAGCAGCCTAATGTTTGATCTCAGCATCCTTGAAATATGGGCAGTACTCTATGCGGGAGGCTGCTTGTTTATTCCTTCGGATAAAGAAAGGGTCAACAATCTCCAAGACTTCACAAGGATAAATGATATCAACACGGTCTTCTTGACGCCAAGTATAGGCAAATTACTCAATCCAAAGGACCTCCCCAATATCTCGTTTGCAGGCTTCATTGGAGAACCCATGACCCGATCTCTTATCGATGCCTGGACGCTGCCGGGCCGGCGTCTGGTGAACAGTTACGGGCCGACAGAAGCGTGTGTGCTGGTTACAGCCCGGGAAATTTCACCAACCGCACCACATGATAAGCCTAGCTCGAACATCGGCCATGCCCTGGGTGCGAATATATGGGTTGTAGAGCCACAGCGGACAGCGTTGGTTCCGATAGGCGCAGTTGGTGAGCTTTGCATTGAGGCTCCATCACTGGCTCGGTGTTATTTAGCCAATCCAGAGCGGACAGAATACTCCTTTCCCAGTACCGTACTGGATAACTGGCAAACGAAGAAAGGGACCCGCGTGTATCGAACAGGAGACCTGGTTCGCTATGCGTCTGATGGCACGCTGGATTTCTTGGGACGGAAAGATGGTCAGATCAAACTAAGGGGTCAGCGTATAGAGCTGGGAGAGATTGAGCACCATATTCGGCGACTTATGTCAGACGATCCTCGATTCCATGAAGCCTCTGTTCAGCTCTACAACCCTGCAACAGATCCCGACCGCGATGCAACCGTTGATGTCCAAATGCGCGAACCTTATCTCGCCGGCCTTCTTGTATTGGACTTGGTTTTCACTGATGAGGTCATGGGGATTCCATGCACGTCCTTAACATCGGCGAATACTAGCGAGAATCTACAGACTCTGGTGACCGAATTGAAGAAAAGCCTCCGTGGTGTGCTTCCGCACTACATGGTCCCCTTGCATTTTGTTGCGGTCAGTAGGCTCCCTACTGGTTCCTCGGGGAAATTAGACCACGCGTTTGTTCGAGCATGCCTTCGTGAGCTCACTGCTCCTTTAGACGGCAATTTTCCAAAAGTTGAACAAGTCTTAACGACCAATGAGTCCGTGCTTCGTCAATGGTGGGGCACAGTTCTGGCTATGGATCCACATTCCATTCAACGGGGTGACGACTTCTTTTCTCTGGGAGGTAGTTCAATCTCTGCTATGAGACTCGTCGGGCTTGCTCGCTCGTCAGGGCACAAGCTGCAGCATGAAGATATTTTCATGTGTCCCAGGCTTGCAGATATGGCAGGCCAAATTTCCTTTGTTCAGGAGGCCAGTGTTAGCCCGACGACTAGCCCCACCATCAAGTTTGATCTTTTGGACGACTGCGAAGTTGATGAAGTCATTGACCACATCCTTCCACAACTTGACATGAACAAAGAACTTATCGAAGACGTGTATCCCTGCACTCCGCTTCAAGAATCTTTAATGGCTGCTACAGCACGACATGGCGAGGCTTATACGATGATACAATCGATCACGGTCCTTGCGTCGCAACTAGCCCAGCTCAAAAAAGCTATGGATGTCGTTTTTCGGGACTTCGAGGTACTCAGAACAAGGATCGCTTTGGGCCCGAGCCAACAGGCCCTCCAAGTTGTTGTTAAGCATGAGGAACTATCTTGGGAAAGTTTTCCTAGTATCCAATCATTCAAGGATCACTTTTACCGCTCTCTTGGCTACGGTAAGCCACTAGCTCGATTAGCTGTAATTACGCAAGCGCTGGACACAAAGCAACCCATCTCCCACGGTACAAGAGAAGCTAGAACTAAAAACAGCCAAGATACAGTGATGGTTGTCGTAGGTGCACACCACAGCATCTATGATGCCCACGTCTTGTCTATGATATGGCGTAGGCTCTACCGAGAATTCATAGGGAGCCAGGCAGATGGCATACTCGAGGCTGAAACAAGCCGTTCTGAGGGAGTTGTTCCCTTCAAGTCATACGTTGAGAAGTTGCTTCGAGGAAAGGATAACGATGAATCGCTTCTTTTCTGGAAAGAAAAACTGCGCGGGGTGTCTTCATCCCAATTTCCGCCCGCCTCCTGGCCCCGTGTGCTAGAACATCAGCCCTCAGCCACCCAAACGCTCATAACCAAAGTGTCTCTTCCCACTAGTAGCCGGAAGAAACTAGGAGCTACGGTGGCTACAGTAGCGTACGCGGCATGGGCTCTCACTATCGCTCACTATACCGCGGATCCTGATGTAGTCTTTGGAGCGACGTTATCAGGTCGTGAGACCATGGCGGGTAGCATAAGCCATCCCGAGTCTATTGCCGGGCCAACAATCATCACCGTACCTTTACGCATCATTATCGACTTCCAAACAGTGGTGTCCGATTTCTTGAGTACCCTTCAAAAAGACATAGTACGTGCCGCTTACTTCGGTCAGATGATGGGGCTTAACTCAATTGCCCATATCGATAATGACTGCAGAGATGCGTGTGGATTCAAAAGCATCATTGTGGTTCAGGTACCAGATGAGGGTGAAAACCACGATGGTAGAGCTGCAAATCCGTTCCAGATGTCTCTCGAGTCCATAGGCCATTTTCCAGCACCTCTTGTTGTTGAAGTGGAGCAATCGGAAAGTACAGATGTACTCATCAGAATGGCTTACGATCCTGTACTAGTTCCTGAGAAGCTGGCTCACTTCATATCAGACACGTTCACGACTACTATGAGCAACCTTTCCGCGGCCAATCCAAAAGCTAAAGTAGAATCTATCCCAGCTCTTTCCGAGGCTCACCTAGCTGAACTAGATGTGACCTGCCCTGAATGGATTCTTGGGAAGGCAAAAGATGAAAAAATAAGGACTGAGTCTCATCAGTGCCTCCAGGATCTCGTTTGCCGGAGGGCCCAACAGTCTCCTAACAGTCAAGCCATAGATTCATGGGATGGCTCAATCTCTTACCACGAGTTAGATGGGCTATCATCCATACTTGCCGAACACCTTTCTCAGCTTGGCGTTAGACCCGAAGCCCCTGTCTGCTTACTATTTGAGAAATCGAAATGGGCAGTCGTAGCCATGATAGGCATTATCAAGGCTGGAGGCTGCTTCGTCCCACTCGACCCGTCTTATCCCCATGAAAGACTTGAACACATCATTAGTGAGACAGGGTCATCGGTCATTGTTACTTCTGCTGCTTATTCGAAACTCTGCTTGTCGTTGTCGGTGCGTGGCATCGTCTGTGATGGATCTGTGTTCTCTTCTACAAAGAAACCCCTCCCATCAACAGCTGATTCTCCTCCTTCCTTCTCCGTCCGACCTAACCAGGCGGCATACATTTTATTTACTTCTGGTAGTACCGGCAAGCCGAAGGGAGTTGTGATGGAGCATCACTCAGTCTGCTCGGCCCTCATCGCACTTGGCAAACGTATGGGCCTTGGTCCACAATCTCGAGTGTTGCAGTTCAACTCGTACTGGTTCGATGTCATGCTCCTTGATATTTTCGGTACGCTTGTATATGGAGGTTGTCTCTGTATCCCCAAAGAAGAGCAAAGAATGAGCAATTTGTCTGGTTGGGTACAGAAGTTTAAGGTCAACACTATGTTGCTGTCAACTTCTGTATCTAGGCTTATGCAGCCGGCTGACACACCATCTTTGGAAACGCTATGTCTCACTGGAGAAGCCGTGTTGCAGAGTGACGTGGATCGATGGGCACCCAAACTACACCTGATTGCAGGATACGGACCTACTGAAACATGTATAATGTCGGTCTCCGGGGAACTAACACCTTCTTCCCCAGCAAATCTCATTGGAAAACCAGTCTCTTGCCAGGCATGGGTAATCAACCCATTGAAAGAGACAGAACTGGCACCCTATGGTGCGACCGGCGAGCTTTACATCCAAGGTCCCACTGTAGCGCGGGGTTATCTTCACGATGACGTGTTGACTAGTAAAGCATTCATCGTCGACCCGCAATGGCTGACGGGATACAAGACAAACGAAAACCAATGGTCACGTCGGGCTTACAAGACGGGTGATCTTGTGTTCTGGGGCCCCCAAAGCAATCTTTACTATGTCAGACGCAAGGACTCTTCTCAGGTCAAGATCCGTGGACAACGAGTTGAGCTAGCCGAGATAGAGGAGGTGATCCGTCAGCATATCCCTCCTGATGTTACCGTATGCGTAGACCTTTTATCCTCAGACGATCAAAACACAAGAATCATTCTAGGTGCAGTGCTCGGCATTGGAGACAGAGCCCTTGGCGGACCAGAGGATCTCGAGGTGATCGGTTACATGGATGACTTGAAAAGCCATATCATACCTGCCCTTGAAGCATCTTTACCGCATCATATGATTCCAGAAGCGTATGTGCCTTTTGTTCAACTACCAACCCTAGGCTCGGGAAAGCTGGACCGTAAGACAGTGCGTAGGGTCGCAGGTCCGCTTGCGTTTTCCTTGCCGCAAGCGTCTGCAAGGCATCCTAACCAGCCAACGCTAACGCATACACAAAAACTACTGAGGCAACTGTGGTGTAAGATTCTCCCCCAGCTAGATGAATCAGCTGTCAACAAACAAGACAATTTCCTAGGAATCGGAGGTGATTCTATCGCAGCTATAAAATTAGTTGCACTTCTCAGACAACATGGGATTTCGTTGGCTGTAGCGGAAATATTCACTCGCCCTACCTTAGAAGCAATGTCTTCCTTGATAGATGAGCATAATTTTGTTGTTTCTCATGCGGGCATACTAAGCGATGTTACGCGCAATACGAGTGGCGTAATGAGGCAGACAACAAATCTCATCGCCGGTCGGCATTCCATGGCCGTGGAAAAGTCTCGAGAATGTGACAACTCCACTCTTCCATGCACTGAATATCAGCAGATGTTCCTTGCTGGCACTGAGGCTTTTACTGGGGCACACTCAGCACAATTTATTTTCCGCTTGCCCGAAAAGATTGACCTGGACCGACTTCAAGCCGCCTTTGATCACTGCGCCGATTGGTATCCAAACCTTAGAACACAAATCCACAAAGATGCTGATACTGGGAGGTTATTGCATGATATCTCACCTATAGGTGTGAAGGTTCCGTGGAGCTGTCATTACAGTGATGATCTTAACACTGTGCTTTCTCATGACAAGAAGTTTCCGCCTGGTTTAGATGGCCCCCTGCATAGGGTGACGATCATGAGACACCGCGACCCCACGGAAAGCATGCTTGTATGGACCCTCAATCACGCTGCATATGATGCATGGAGCCTCAGGATGATGCTAGAACACATAACGGAAGCATATGCAAACCCTGACTACGAGCCATCCTATTCTCTCGGATGGACTGCATTTGTCTTGCATACCGAGAACACGAAGGAAGCATCCCGATCATTCTGGTCGTCTTATCTTTCTGATGTCAAACCAGCAAGGCTGATGTTCAATTACAACCTTGTATCTAATCCCCGACAGGATAGACTTTACGAGGCGAGAATAAACATTCCGAAGCGAGTGCTATCGCAAGCTACAGCCGCAACGGTTCTTCTTGCAGGTCTTACGCTCTTAGTTGCTCGGGTGTGTGACACTCGAGATGTCATTCTCGCACACCTATTAACTGGCAGGACGCTTCCTCTCGCTGGGATAGAGAACTGTCCCGGGCCAACCATTACAAAGGTGCCCTTGCGGATTCCCTTGATGGACCAGGATTTGGTTACCCTAGAATTGGATTCCGTTGCGAAGAAAATCACTGCTGAGCTGATGCGTGTCATGCCTCACGAACACTCCGGCCTATCTGCCATCCGAGAATTCATTCCCCAAGCAGAAGGCACTACAACGTCGAGTGGGAAGTTCCATGCAGGGTCTGTTCTGGGCCGCTTACCTTTAGACCTGGTGATTCATCCGAAGGGTGGCCTTGACCTGTTAGGCAAGCATGGCCTAGGTCTCCAGAACGAAGGCTTTCGTCTCGTTGCGCCACCCTCTGGTGGGCTTTCTATGGAGTGTGCTCTAGTAGATGATGACGACGATAAACGATCGGACACAATAAGCGTAGATGTCTCAGTTTTGTGGGATCAAAGAGCGGCAACCCAGGAGGATGTCATCGAACTAGTTCATTCTCTACAGGGTATATTTACAAAGAGGAACCTCGCAGCATGAATATGCCTTATGTACAAATGATGCATCTACAGTGTTTTTGTAACTACAGAATAAAAAATACTACCATCCGTGTTTCATTGAAAGACCACAAGCCTAACGTGTGTGCATAGCGAGTGACGCACCCCAACAAACTATCATGCTCTTTAACATTTAAACTATAATGTCTCAACCACCAAACTCTGAATGGCTACTAAAAGAAGAGAGGACTAATCCAGCCCTCTAAGTAATTAACAAACCCTAAAAACTAAGTGTGCAACGCGCTGCTATAGTCTATAGTGTACCCGGATTCGGATCATGCCCTGCCGAACATCATGACGCGTCTCAACACCACAATTTTGATGCGCAATAACTCAACAACCATGGCTCCAATTGACG